CTGGAGGAAGCACGGCGCCCTCCCGGTAGGGCAGCTTCTCGTGCTTCCGCAGGTGGTGCGGCGCATCGAGGGGGCCTCGGCGAGCCATCGCTGGTCTGGGTAGGACGGGCGGGGGAGGAGGAGGCGGGATGAGGACGAGGAAAAGCACCGAGGAGGGGAGGGAGGAACGAGGATGAGGGGGAGGATGAGTGCAGGAGCCAGGAGCCGAGGAGGAGCCTTGCCCCCACGCTTGCCTCCCTGTCACCGCCCTCCCCCTCCCTCATCTTCCCATCCCCGCCCCTCCCCCCGCCCCATTCCCCTGCACATTCCCTCGCCTCCTCCTCCTCCTCCTCCTCCTCATTCTCCTTCTCATCCTCCTTCTCCTCCTCTCTTCGCCCCATCCCTCCCTCCCTCACTCTCTCATCCCCCCGCCCCTCTCTTCGTCCCGCCCCCACCCCCCCTTCCTTCACTCCCTCCCGCCCCCGCCCCATTCTCCCCCCCTCTATACTCTTGCCTTACTTGCTCGGCTTCGCTCCCTCTCCTCCTCGTCCTCCTCTTCCTCTTCCTCTTCCTCCCTCCTCCTCCTCCTCCTCACCCCTCCTCCTCCTCCTCCTCCTCCTCCTCCTCCTCCTCCTCCTCCTCCTCCATCGCTGTTCTTCCTCCTCCTCATCATCCTCCTCCATTTCCTTCTCCTCCTTCGCCCGATGTCCCCGCGCCCGCACGCCACCACGCGCCCAAACCATGCCCGTGGTTCAGCTATGCGGCGAACTGAGCAGGCCCACCCACTTCAAATCCTGGCGGCCGACCGCGGGAGTGCTCGGGCAGCGAGAAGTATATCTCATCAACTCCTCCTCCTCCTCCTCCTCCTCCTCCTCCTCCTCCTCCTCCTCCTCCTCCTATGCCTCCTCCTCCTCCTATGCCTCATCCTTCTCCTCATCCCCATCATCTCCACTACCATCCTCACCATCCTCATCATCATTACCATCATCAGCATCATGATCATCATCATCATCGTTACCAGCAGCAGCAGCAGCAACATCATCATCATCATCGTCATCATCAACATGATCATCATCATCATCACCATCATCATCGTCATCATCATAATCATCAACAGAATCAGCATCATCATCATCATCACCATCATCATCACCATCGCCAGCAGCAGCAGCAACATCGCCAGCATCATCATTCATCATTATCATCATCAACATCATCATCACCAGTATCACCATCATCACCATCCGCATCAGCATCCTCCTCCTCCTCCTCCTCATCATCATCATCATCATCATCATCGTCACCATCACCATAAACACCATCATCATTGTCATCGTTGTCACCATCATCATCAGCAGCCTACTCGCAATCATTTTCATCAGCAGCAGCATCATTATCAGCATCATCATCATCGTTATCATCAGTAGCATCATCATGATCAGCATCGCCATCATCGTCATCGTCACATCCAGCAACATCATCACCATCAGCATCAACAACGCTATCATCATCAGCAGCAGCAACATCATCAACATCACCAGCATCGTCATCATACTTAGCATCATCATAATCGTCATCGTCATCAACATGGTCATGCTTGCTAGTATTAATAGTATTATTACCCTCGTCCTATCATTATGTCTCGTATTCCTCATATCTCGTCACTCCGACCTCCTCTGTCATCCTTCTCCTCCTTCTCCTTCCCCTCCTTCTCCTCGGTTTCCTTCTCATCCTCCTTCTCCTCCGTATGGACCTCCAGACCCTCGTTATCCTCATCGTCGCCCTCCTCTTTCTTCCACACCTCCTCCTGCTGCGCCTGCTACTCCTCCAGCGACAGAGGGAGAGCTGGAGGGAATGACGCGGAGAGAGCGAGGCGCGATCGCCGATATGCGGCAAGGTGGATGAGACCAACCAGCATGCCTTCTGTTTCCATCGCGTTCCGCCAATCCCTCCCCCCTTCCCCTCCAATGCGTTCCTCACATTCCTCTCCTCCGCTCCTTCCCTCACATTCCTCTCCTCCCACCCCCCGCCCCCACCTCCTTTGCCCCCCCCATTCCTTTCTCCTGAGTCTGGCTGGCCCTTCCTTATGCATTGGCAGCAGCTGGCGGCGGAGGTACTGCGGCGTCTCAAGGTACTGCAGATTCCGCGCGAAGAAGGCCATGCTCTTCGAGAGCTCCTCGACTGCAATCCGATCTTCTTCCCCTGTCCACTCCTCTTTCTCCTCGTGGTGTTCACAAACCTCTCCTCCTTCCATTATCCCCCCTCCCGGTTCCACGCTCTCCACTCGTTCCGTCCTGCTGCTTCCTTGCCGTCTACGCTTTTTGATGTGATGAGGTCCTACGAGCCTGGCTCAATTCTATCCGCCACTGGGTTTTAGCATCCACTGTCTTGCAAGAAAAACTCGATTCACGATGTTGCCGCCAGTGCCGCGATGACAAGGACAGATGTCAAAATACAGCGCGGCCAACTGCCAGTCGTGAGCAAAAGCTCGCGCACAACAGGAGCATGATGCGCGAGCTCGTCTTAGCATGCGTTGCCCCTCCAAGCACCGTCAAATGACAGCCTCTGATTGACAGTCTCCGTGCAACCTCGCGACCTTCGTACCCTCTGAACGCGCCCGGGTACCTGACTCTACTCGAGATCGGAAGACTCGTCGGCGGCCTCGCCAACGATGGCGTTGGAAATGCCGGGGTCCCATTAGGGAGGAAACCCCTGATCTGGGCGGGGGGCTGCAAGAAACATCTGCCCAAGCTTCAGAAAGCGCCAGGGCAGCCGCGCGACCAATCGTCGACAAGTTTGCCTCTCAACACAAATTACCGAGGAAGGGGAGGAGGAGGGAAGAAACATAATAGCTGCGGCAAGCGGCAGTGGCAAGCGCGGCTCATGATGGCCTTATAGATGGAGGCCTGTTCGTCATCTTGCTGCTGGTACCGGTCTTCCGCCTCCTCCTCCTCCTCCTCCTCCTCCTCCTCCTCCTCCTCCTCCTCCTCCTCCTCCCCCTCCTGCCCCGCCTCCTCCGCCTCCTTCTCCTCCTCCTCCTCCTCCTCCTCCTCCTCCTCCTCCTCCTCCTCCTCCCCCTGCAAGGCTGGAATCCTGGTCGTCCTCGCTTCTCGGAGTGTCCGATCTGTCCTCGTACCTCAGCGGCCGTGTGCAGGCCGCGCCCCGCGGCGTCAGGCCTTGCAGGAGGCCCTGCACCAGCACATGCTGCGAGGAGGATCGGGCGGAGGAGGAGGGCGAGGAGGAGGGAGAGGAGGAGGGAGAGGAGGAGGGAGAGGAGGAGGAGGAGGAGGAGGAGGAGGAGGAGGAGGAGGAGGAGGAGGAGGAGGAGGAGAAGGAGGAGGAGGGGGGAGGGGGAGGGCGAGGAGGGGGTTACCAGTGGAGTTGCCAATGGGCAGCACGTGGCGTTCCACAGAAATGAAGTCCTGGTCCGAAGACAGACTCCCAAGACAGACTTCGCTTCCGCTGGACCACCCTGGGGGCAGGGGCGTTTGCCGTTGCGATCCGCTGCAAAGTCTGGATCCCTTTGACCCTTGCGACTGGCGGACATTCTGTCGCAAGATGGTAGCCGTCTGAAATGGCCGTCAGCCCAAACGTCGAACAAACATTCAGATTTTGAGGGAAAGTTGGAGAAATGGAGAGGCGGAGAGGAGCAGCAATAGGAGTAGGAGAGCACCGGTCCCAGCGGCCAACAACATGCAGAAGGACACGCGCAGGTAGGAGGAAGAGGACGGGGGGGCCGATTGGGGAGAGGGGAGGAGGGAGGATGTGGCAAAGGGGTAAAGGAGATAAGGGTAGAGAGAGAGGGGAGGAGGACAAGCTAGGTGCGCTCGCGTCATATCTGACATCCTACCCCTCCCTCCCATCCCTTACCATGGCGTAGATCCCCTCTCTACTCTCACAGTCGGATGTCGAGCAGGGCAATGATCCCGAAAGGGTACACGATGCATTGTAGAGCACGGCATGGCATGGCGTAGAAGAGCACCGCAAAGCGTAGTATGTCACAGCATGGCGTGGCGTGGCGTAGTGAAGAATTGCATCACAAAACTTTGCAATACAAAGCATGGCATCGCCCAGCGGCCCCGAACATAACATTGCATACCATGGCGTTGAAGATCAAAGCGTAGCATGGCATAGCACGACGTGGCACTTAAGCACTGCATATCACAGCTTCAGCTGAAGGCATGGCATCGCGCAGCGGAACGCAACCTAGCATTGCATTGCATGCCGTGGCACGGCACGGGAAATGACGCCAGCGCTGCAGCGGGAGCACGATTCGGGACGAGCGGAAGCGCGGAAATGAGGCCAGCGCTGCAGCGGGAGCACGATTCGGAACGAGCGGAAGCACGGAAATGAGGCCAGCGCTGCAGCGGGAGCACAATTCGGAACGAGCGGGGCCCGAAAATGAGGCCGGCGCCTCAGCGAGAGCAGCATTTTGGAAAACAATGCAAGCGAAAACCCAACTCTGGGGAATCCTGTGTGTAAAAAAACAATACGCGGGGGGGGCGAACACTCCCAACCCCCAACCCGTGATCAGGGGAAGGAGGATAATAGTATTCATATTGAGTAATTGCGGAGGAGGAGGAGGAGGAGGAGGAGGAGCAGGAGGAGGACGAGAAAGCGAGAGAGGGAGAGAGGAGGGCGAGGGAGGGAGGGCGGGAGGGAGGTACGGAGGGAATGGGGGTGGGGAGAAGGCGGTACGAAGGGAGAAGAGAGAGGATGAGACAACGTTTTTGTAAACGTCGACGAGGAGAGAGAGAGAGAGAGAGAGAGAGAGAGAGACAGAGAGAGAGAGGGAGGAGGGGGTAAGAGAGAACGAGAAGAAGAGACCGAGGTGCGCACAGGACGACCTCGTCGGCGGCGAAGATGGTGAGGGCGCGGGCGATCTGACCCACCAGCAGCGCCTTAAGCTCGCCGCTCTGGGCATTGTCGAGGACGCTGGCAGGCAGGGCTACTGGGCGCAGGGGGGGCAGTAAGAGAACACCTGGCATAATCTTGCATCCAACGTATCATGCTACTGTTCCTGCTGTTGTTCTCCTGCTCCTCCTCCTCCTCCTCCTCCTCCTCCTCCTCCAACGCCTCCTCATCTGGCACACTACCCTGCCATCCCCTCCCGATACCTCATCCTGATGATCCTCCTCTGGCGCACCATCCTGGCATCTGCTTGGAATTCCTTCTCCTCATCTGTCTGGTCCCCCCTCTCTCTCCCTCTCCCTCCCTCTCTCTCTCAATGTTTTACATTTTTTTGTTCTCTCACTCTCTCTCTCTCTGTTTCTCTCTCGTTGTTCCACACCACCGTTGTGTCATCCTTCTGACCATCCTCCCCATACAATAGAGATTACCCCATTGTGTTCATCCTGCTGCTGCTGCTGCTGCTGCTGCTGCTGCTGCTGCTGGGGGGGCAAGGGGACGAGGGGGAGGTTAGAGGCTGGAAGAGAGGGAAAGATGGAACAATGATGCGACGGGCACAGGAAGAGCGAACCCAATCAGCTGGTCAACCGTCTGATGGGATAAGTCATTGTTGTTAGGCTCGCTGGCCGACCGAACGAACCTGCCTAATCAGGCCCCAATAGTTGAATGATCGATCAATCGATCGATCATGCAATCGAACTTGCTGCGACGCATCCGAGCGACTCGAGGGGAGGGAAGAGGACAAAGTGATCCATAACGAGAAAGGCGAGATGGATAGCTGAAGTCAGAGGTGAGAGTGGACAGGAAGACATGGAGGTGGAGGGGGAGAAGAAGAGCAGGAGCAGTCTCACGGGGGAGGCTAAGGAGGCATTTGAAGCGACCGCCGCGGCACAAGCGAGGCGAGATGAATGAGGCAAGGGAAGGGGGCGGGGAGGATGGATCGAGGGGGCAGGGCATGGGGAACCACCATCCCGGTCATCATCGTCGTCACCACCACCATCATCACCATTCTCGTCCCCACCAACATCGCCAACAGCATCACAACTCGTCACCATCGATCGCTGCCACCATCAACGACCACCATCACCATCATCATCACCAACATCAACACCATCCCCCTGATCCTCTTTCTCCGTCATCCGTCCTCCTGCTCATCCTCCTCCTCCCTCAATCCTCCTCCTCCTCCTACTTCTCCGACCCCCGTCCTCTTCCTCCGTCCTTCTCCTCCGTCCTCCTTCCCCCTCCCCCTCCGTCTTCCGTCCTCCGTCCTCCGTCCTCCGTCCTCCGTCCTCCGTCCTCCTCCTCCTCCTCCTCTCTGTTGCTGCTGCTCCTCGCCCTCCTGCCTTCCACTCCCTGCTCCCTGCTCCTGCGCCCCGCGCCCCCTCCTCCTCCCGCACCCGTCGGGCCAGCGGCGGGCGCTGGGAGCGCGCGCGTCTCCTGACATGGTGTACTTCCGCCCCTTGCCCGGCCTCGGCCGAGGGGGGGGGGGCGGAGATGGCGGGAGGGGGGGGGGGGGCGGGGAGACAGAAGTGGAAGGGGCGTGGGTGGGGGGGGGGGGAGCGGGGCGGAGCGGGGGCGGGAGGGGTGAGGGGGGGGGGACGTTGGCGAGAGGGGAGGGAGGGGGGGGGGAGTGGAGCGGAGAGAGGGCGGGAGCGGGGGGACGGGGGGCGCGGCACGGCGCTGTTGAGGGGAGCAGAGGGGGTGGAAGGGGGCGGAGGAGGTGGAAGGGTTCGGTGGGCCCCGCGGGTGCCGATCCCTCCCCTGATTTCTTTGCGTGCTGTTGCCCCTTTTTCAAAATGTTTAATCCTCCCGCTCTGCCTTATCCTCCGCCTCCTCCCTTCCATTCGCGCCCTCCTGTCACTTGGAGGAGTTCCGAACGTTTCTGTGGTCTGTCACATGTGCCATGTTCTATGCATGGGCAGGCTGCCCACGAGCGTACGGCCAAGAGAAGAACACTAACGGATAACCCGCGCATGTGCCATACGTCTGGAGCCACCACAACATGAAACACACACTGACATCATCATTTCGAGTGAATGTGTCACGATTCCTATGCACACACCTGGAGGCGGGGCGCAGAGCTGGACTCTCAGGCTCAGGTATTGGCGGTGCTTCCTTTGGTGGTTGATTTGGGTGTTCAGGTGCTCCAAAGGCAGCACAAGTATACGACAACAGGGAAACCCTCACGCAACACGTCTGGCATCCACATAGCAGTATTGCGAGTTTCCCCCAGAGGAGGCCAAACAACTCATCAACTCGCAAAACGTGTTGGGGACGCTTTGGTGAAAAGCCTCTCCAAGTTCACACACAAGCATGTATTCGCAACGCGTCTGCCTGTGGAGAGGACGAACGCCCAGAAAGTGTCCTGCAAGCCTTGGAGAGGTACTACGCAAAGAAAAGAATGCACGACGATGTGGGTTCAGCGGCAAGTGGTACCCGAGCAAGGCGGCGGACGGACAGATGCGACTTCAGCGCAGCCGAAGGAACCAAGCAACTAAGGAACGAAGAAACGGGATGGGGAGGGGAGGGGGCGGGATGGGGAGGTGACGGGAAGGGCCGAGGGCGGGAGGGGAGCCGACGGCACACATCGAAAGGGTATGAGGAACACGGACACAGGGGAAGGGCGTCCGCGGCAGCGAACGAGCGGCAAAAGGGGGAGGGGCGGGAGAGCGAAGGTCCGGCCAGGGGGTGGGTGAGGCAGCGCGAGGGGGGGGGGGGAAGAAGGGAAGAGGAAGGAAAAACAAACGAGCGGGCGAAGGGGAGAACGGAACGGAAAACCAGCAAAGATGGGGGGGGGGAAGGCAAAACAGTGACGGGAGGATCCCCCTCACCCGTCATTCCTGACTCAACCTCTTCCTCCTCTTCCTCCTCAACCTTCTCCTCTTCCCCTTCCATCTTTAAATCATAGAAATAACTCCTCCCTCTCCTCTGTTTCCCCCGTTCTGACCCTGAAGCTTGAAATCCGAAGCAGATTCACGGATGGAGGGCGGCGGGTCCTTTTCAACATGTGGTTTTCTTTGTATCGCCACACACGTTCGTCGCGCAGGCTAATAGCAACTTCAAAAAAAGGCGGCCCGCTTTCAAAATGTGGCCATCGCCTTAGCACCGCGCACCTTCGTTTTTCAAGATTGCAACGGTTTCAATGACCGACGTCGGGTGTTTTTCAATACCTTGTTCTCGATGTAGCGCCACAAGAATTTCAAGCATTCGTACGGTTGAAGTTCCATTCGATTTATACGTTTGCAAGAGTTCCAATTATTAGTACAGTTGAAGTTTCATTGCGGTGTTCTGGCGCGACTTAGGATTGCCAGAACGCAACCATCACGTTGATGGCGGTGTTGAAGTCTCAAAAGCGGTGTCATGGCACGATGTAGGATTGTAAGGACACAAAACTCACGTTGACTCGCGGCGCTGAATTCCTAGGAGTTGCGTTTTGGCACGGCCAAGGGCTCTCAATCGGTTGTCTTCAACTGGGGCACCTCCCGCGATGAAAACAAATCCTTGTAGGAGCCCATGACAAGGGGGCTTGGAGGGAGGATGTATAACAACACCGTTGATGCGTCTTGGGTCTACACTGGCGCTTAAGCATGGGAATAGTTCAGCCAGTGGGCTGGATTCCCCTGATCAAAATCTGATTGGTCTTAGGCCCTGGCTCGAATATGAAAGCGGCCAGGTTCCCGCCAATTGTTCGAGCTTGCGGACGACCGTGAATCACGAGGACGCCCCGAAAGGAAAACAACAAACGAGAACCGTTTGCAAGTCGACTTGGCGGCGACAGCGACGACTACGACGCTGGGCCCCCCACCCCGCTTAGCCTGCCGTCAGAGCCGCAAATGCTGCGGCCCACCTCCGTGCGCCCGAGCGTCAAGCAGCGGCAGCAGCAGCAGCAGCAGCAGCAGCAGCAGCAGCAGCAGCAGCAGCAGCAGCAGGAGGGGGACAGGAAGGGCGGAAAGGGGAAGGACCAAGACGGACCCGCGACCCCCCGAAACCCTGACGGGGAGACCGTCAAAAACAAACACGCGCCAAGAACGAGGGGTAACACACATGCTCCTCCTCCTCCTCCTCCTCCTCCTCCTCCTCCTCCTCCTCCTCCTCCCCCTCCTCCCCCCCCTCCTCCTCCTCCTCCTCCTCCCCCTCTCCTCCTCCTCCTCCTCCTCCTCCTCCTCCTCCTCCTCCTCCTCCTCCTCCTCCTCCGCCTCCTCATTAATTCACTCATTCACTCCCTCCCTCACTCCCTCCCTCCCTCACTCCCTCCCTCCCTTCCTCCCTCCCTCCCTCGCTGCCTCCTTCTCGGCCAGTCGCGGGGATGGCGCCCCCACTGGCTCTCTGGGGGCCGCCCAGAGGGGGGCCGTCCAAGGTGCACTGCGCCCCAGGCCTGCCTCGTCTTGAGGCAGGCCCCAAGTATCGACGACGGCCGAAGGCTGCTGGCGCTGTCTCTGCCGGCCGGCCGGCGCTCAAGGGGCACGGGAGGGGGAGGGGGAAGGATGGGCAGGGAGAGGAGGGCGGCGGGGAAGGGGAACAGGGGGCGGGGGGTTTTGAGGGTGGTGGCCGTGATCGTAGTGGTGATCGTAGTGGCGGTCGCACTGGTGGTGGTCGTGCTGGAAGTCGGCCGCTCTGGATGTGATCGTGGCAGTCGTGTTGGTGGTCGGTCTTCTAGTGGAGTTGGAGGCCGTGGTGGTCGCGCTGGTGGTGGTCGTGCTGGTGGTCGGTCTGCCGGTGGTCGGGGTGGTCGTGCTGGCGGGCGTGCTAATTAGTGGTCCGCCGTGGTGGCGCAGGTCGTGCGGCTGGCAGTCGCGGCGGACTGCTGCCCGAGGGCGCCGAGGACTCCTCTCTCCTCCCTCCATCCCTCCCTCCCTCCCTCCCTCCCTCCCTTCACGAGGCCGATCCCCCGCGCGGCCTGAACATCTCCAGCGCGGACGGCCGCGCAGCCTCGCCCGCCGCGCCCCGGCCGCCTCGCCCCGCGCCGCGCCCCGCGCCGCGGCCCCCGCCGCGCCCCTGCTGGGCCGCGGGCTCCTCCGGGCGCCGCCCCGCCCGCCCGCCCGCACCCGGCGGGCCGGGCGGGCCCTGGCTCCTCCCCGGGCCCTCCTCTGGCCTTCCCTCCCCTCGTCCCCGCCTCCTCTGGCCCCCCCCCCCCCCCCCCCCCCCCCCCCCCCCCCGTCCCTGGCGCCTCCCCCTCCCTCACCCCCGCGCCCTGCCACAACCCCTCCTCCCCACCTGCCCTGAACCTCCCCTCCAAGTCCCGAGCCTCCCTCCCGTTTTCCTCGCGCTGCTCCGCCCAGCCGGCGCGAGGCGGGGTCCCGCGAGGCGGATTGGACCCGCATGTGTGCTCGAGCCCCTGCCCGGGACCCACCCTCACTCTAAACTCTGCAGCGCGCCTGCTGCGCATAGAACTCTAAAGCGGGGTGGCCGCGCTGTGCTGCGATAGCTTCGGCTGCGAAAGAGGAGCTGGCACCCGGTAAGCACATCCGCTCGCTGCGGGAGAACACCTTTCTGGACCGAACGCGCCCGTGGCTCCCACTTTCGGGGACCTGCTGCCCCCGCATCTCCTGTAAGACGGCCCTCCCCCTCATTGGCCCTCGGGGGGCGCTGGCTTCGACATGACGATGTGAGCCCAAACGTGGCGAGCCGCAGGATATCAGAGGCAGGCGAGAAGAGGCAGCTTGTCACTGCAAGCTCAGATCATCGCCTGCTTCTGCTGCTGGCCCGAAAAGGAGCCCCAAACGCCTTGACATGGACCGTGTCTAGACGAGGGCTCCACATGCTTCCCGCCTAGGCCCTGGCGCGACGTCGGTCCCCCACTAGAGCGGGCCAGAGGGGCCGGAAAACGCGCCAGGAAAGACCTCGTGTATAGGCTCCGCTGAAAACGGGCCGTGCGTTCGGGATCGCTCCTGTGACTCAGATCCACGGCTGGTCGAACCGTCTTGGCAACCGATACGTATCGTGCAGAGGAACAGATAAGCCACCTCGCTTAGACTTGAACATACGGTGAAGCTATCACATCATGGCCATTCCCAAGAGACGACGGAAACGGGGTGCACATCACCAGCCCAAAAGACAAAAGAGGAGTGTCAGTCAGGGGGGTGGCTGTTCATTCTAGTAGCTAGTCCTCGCAATTGTCGGCGCGCGACGACGAAGACGAAAACGAAGACGACGACGACGAAGCGACGAGGCGACGAAGCGACGAGGCGACGAGGCGACGACAAGACGAGGCAACGAGGCGACGAGGCGACGACGACGACAAGGCGACGAGGCGACGAGACGGCGACGACGACGAGGCGACGAGGACGGCGAGACGGCGAGGACGACGGGGACGACGGGGACGACGAAGACGACGAGGACGACGACGAAGAGACGACGACGACAATGGCGAAGGGGGTCGCAAGGGTCCTCCTCCGCACGGCGCCGCTTCGGGCCCTCCAGCCCCGCGCCCATGGCCTCGGCGTCCTGGTTCGTACGATGAGGGGATATATATATATATATATATATGTATACGCCGTGATATATATATATATATATATATATATATATATATATATACACATACATACATACATACATACATACATACATACATACATACATACATACATACATACATATATTGTATATATATACACACTGGAACCACGCGCGAGCTACGCGCGCTTAGGTGCGAATCAACTCCGAAGACCTCATCATCACCCTCCTCTTCATGAGTTATATCCTCATCCGCCCTTATGGCAGGCAAGCGCAATCCTGGCGTCGACGTCTTTGTCGGCGTCGTCGCCGCCGTCGTCGTTGCGGCCGCGGGCGGGGGAAAGGGAAGGAGGGGAAGAAGGCGAGGGGAGGGAGGGAGGCGGGTAGGGAAAAACAACTTTTTGCCTGGATGTAGCTTCGATTGCCCCTGAAGGTAACTTCCGCGAGGGAAGCTCTGGGGACTCCGCCGAAGCCATGGCAAGGAAGGACTGTTCCTTTGAACGGATCAGGGGGATATGTGTGGTAGGGGGGAGGCCGGCCAGCCGACGACACGACTGGGAAGGTAACTCCCTCGAGGAGAGATGACTCTTGGAATGTCGCGCCTCCGTACATGTCGAGGCAGGAGAGAACCCCTTGGACAACGTAGCAAAGCCAATATAATCGGATGGCGCCCGTAATATTAGCACACATGCTGGTGAATTTCAGTGCGTTCTTAATCATGCTGCGGGAATACATATATTCAGGCCTCGGCCTTGGATGCATTCGAAAATTCTGGACCGTGGGGTTGAAGTGAAGCAACAACATGGTTTGCGCAAGTATGTTGTGGAGCTTGACCCACCATGGTTTGAGCCAAATGGCAACACGAAGAGAGGGAAGAGGGGGGCAGGAGGAGGGAGGGGGAGGAGGGTCGAGGGAGGAGGGAGGAGCGAGGGAGGAGGGAGGAGGAACGAGGGAACGGGGGGCTCCCAGCTGTTTTCTTTTTTTGCAGGGGCGCGCTGAGCCACGGTGCGCCGTCTGAAAAAAAAACTCGACTGTCTGAAGTTGGGATCGGCCCATGAACGGGCAAGGTTGTGATTGACCCAACAACATCGAAAGAAACTGTCTCGACCAGCAGTGGCCATCTAACCCATCACAGAGGTGGTCTAGCTACGTGCTCGCAAAAAGTATCGGCCAGCCGTGGCCGTCTAACCCACTGATGAGGTGGTCTAACTACGTGCTCGCAAATGTCTCGGCCAGCAGTGGCCGTCTAACCCACCGATGAGGGGGCGGCGACGCTCCCACTCAGTCGCGCGCATTCCTCCTCCTCCTCCTCCTCCTCCTCTTCCTCCTCCTCCTCCTCCTCCTCCTCCTCCTCCTCCTCTTTCTCCTCCTCATTCCCCCATGCGGTGGTCTAGCTACGTGTTCGCGAATGTCTCGGCCAGCAGTGGCCGCCTAGCTATGTGTCCGCACCGTGGCTCTTTCCTGCATTTTCGAGGCTCGTCGTCATATGTATGGTTTCGTTGATGTGTTGGGTTTCGTTCGGGGATTCCTCGGCTCGAAAATCGCACCGACGCGCCGTTACATCAGCGGAACACGTGCTTGCAGTGCTTCCACTTAGGGTCAGAAATTGCAGCTTTGTGCTCGCTGTTCTCCCCCGTCGTATTGCGGGGGCGATTGGCTGCAGCAGTCCTCTTAGCAATCTCAGTCACTGCCATTGCTGTCGCGGCGCCAGGGATAGGAGGGCGGGTCAACTCCACGTTTGCCTTTTGGATCGCAGAGGGGTTCATCTCGAGGTAGTACACCGCCAGGGGGACATCCACCATGATCTCCTTATTCACGTTGGCGCAGGTGAACTTGAAGGTGCCCTGAAAAGTCTGAACGACCATCGTTGCCGCAGTGGCGGCCTTCGCGGACGTCGTAGACACCATCCAGGCTGGCTGGAACGCTTCGCGCGAGAACGCGCTGTAGTTGTGGCCGTCGATGCAGAGCTGTTCGTTGGCGCGCTGGCACACGGGCAGGCTCCCCCTGCTGGGCAAGCGCGTCACCTTTCCAAGGGATACCATCTGGATCGCCGGCGTCGCACGCGATGCAACCAGGCGCGGCGGCGACTCTGACGGGTCAGCCTCGACGAATGACGTGCCCCATTCAGCTGGCGCCCCCTTCCTGGGAGGGCTGCGCGCGTAGGTCCTCCACAAATGCGTGTCCAACGCTTTGGTGAACAACTCAATCGCGAGAGGAGCGGCTCCGACGTCGATGCTGGTCTTGAACACGTTGCAAATCTCAGCCAACGTCGAGAGCTTGGCCTGCCCAGCGGCGTCGATGCTTGCGTCGCCACCTTTGACGAACGATCAACACGTGCCCAAGCCCATGAGGAAGACGGAATGAGCCGTGGGTGCGCGTTGTCGGATAGGGGCCCCCGCTCGAGCGGGAGCCTCCTCAGGGGTCCGACAACCCGCACCCATGCCCAGAACCCGTCCTTCTCACTCCGACCCCCCTATGGGCATGGGTGTGTGTTGTTCGTTCGTCAACCTTTCTTGGTCATGACAATGCAGTCCTCCTTGGTCGGCGCAGCGGCCTTGTCGTCGCCGTCCTTCTTGGTCTCGGCACTGGTAACCGTAGCCTCCTGTGCTGGTGTCGTCTCCGAGGCGCCGGCAGGCGCCTCGGCCTCGGCGCTGGCGGCTGCCTCGGCGGACGGCGCCTCGGCGCAGTTGCCCGTGTCGGCTGCGCTGGCTGCCCCGTCGGCGAGAGTTGCCGCGAGGACATTGTTCCGCACGCCGGCAACCTGGAAGTCCGCAGCGCTCGACCCACGCAACAGTTCCGACCAGAGCGGCGCCCGAGTGCTGCGGTCCAACATGCAGTCCGACTCCGCGATGGTGTTGGCGTTCGCCACCAAGACATCCACGCTTGCATCCTCCATGAGCACGAAGTCGGCCATGGCGCCCAGCATCTCGAACATGTAGGTAGCTCGCATGGCCAAGAAGCGCGTGAGACTGATATCAATGTTGAAGACCCCAGGGACACGTCGGAAGGAGTCGAACTGGTCTGCCCAACCACTTCGCGGCATAGAAAACCAAAGTCCACGAACTCAGGGCGAATATGATTGAAAACAAAGTCCTTCATCATGCTCAGGGCCTGGCCCATGCTCATGTCGCCGCTCAACCCGAAGATCGTCTTCGCCATGCTCTGGAGTTGCGGGTGGAATCTGCGCGGCTTGGTGAGGTCGGTGTCGCTGGTCAGAGTGACCAATTGCATCGTGGTGTCACGATCGGTTTGGAGAGTCGCAAGTGTCTCTTGCTCCTTGGTTGCGTACGTGGCGGACGCAGATGGCACTGGATGTTCAGCCTGCCCCGCAGTCGCCAGCTGGTCGCAGACAACTGTGGCGATCGTCTCAGGTGAAACGCCCCACAAGGATGCATCGATATGGCTTTGATACAGATGCGAATGAACGCGAGCAGTGTTAGCCCTGAGCTCCTTGCGCAGCACGCTCCACTTCTCGATGCACGTGCCGTTCCACTGCGCGCCCCCCGCAAACAGGAACACGAGGCCAATCTTGATCGAACGCGAGAGCTCGTCAACGAGGATGAGATTCGACGGGAGCTTCTCCACTGACCCCCAAATGACCCCGATCATATCGTCGATGAAGTACTTGTCGCGCGATCCATCGCACATGCGCCTCGTCTCCAGGGGCTCGCGCGACTCGCTGCCTGAAGCGCTGCAGGAGCTTCCATTAATCTTCTTGGGTCTCCCCTTGCCCTTGGCCTTGGACTTGGCATTCGGCTTCCCGTGGCCGTCCGTGTCTAGCAGAGGCTGAGGGTTCACAGCGTCACCATCGCGAACCCCGGCGTCCTCAGGTACAGCCTCAAGCTGGCATGCGCTGCGCTCTGTTCCCCTGGATGCCTGGCCTCTCTTTTTGCAAGTGGGGTCGTAGACGACAGACCCACCCGTGGGCGCCATCGCCCAGTCCAACTCGATGCGGCACTTAGCGTCCCAGAAGACCCAGGACACCTCAAGCTTGGGGTTCGATCCCGTCTCCGAGTCAATGTCTTCGCGGAGTCCAGCAAGATCGGCGCAGCGAAATTCAGGACCTCGATGACGAGCTTCTTGAAGATGACGGGGTCCATCGCGTTCGAGAACTTCTCCACGAGCAGCGACGCAATGTCGTGACTGACCCTGCACATCGTGTGGTTCTCGATGCGGGGGTCCAAGAAGTTTGACTTCTGCTCCATCATAGATTTGTACTCGTCATACACACCGAGAACGTTGGCCATTGCGTTGTAGAAAGATTTGCAGTTCTCGAAGTGCTGCCGTGGCGTCGATCCGAAGAAGTCCTTGTGATTGGCCAGCGCGAACTCCTCGCGCTGCTTCTCGTATCGGTGCGGGCCCTTCGAAGGGCACGTGGACTTTGCGATGGGGTGCTTCTTGCGGTGTGCGTCCCAGTGCTTCTGGATGATTGGGCACTCGTCGTACAGCTCGATCACTGTGGCCTCCGACCCCGCGCGGTGCATGTTCGCTTGGGCGCGAACCCACTTCAGGACGTCCAACGGAGTATCGCGATGGAACTCGCGTGCGTCGTTGATGTCGCTCTTGTACACCCACGCGACGTGCTGATTCGCGGGGTCCAACCTGTGCGCCATGTGGCTGGCGTCAACCAACGTGCCACCGCCGATCATCAGGTCGGCGTCTCCGCTCGCGTCCTTCACTTGCCACTGTCCCCCCTGAATGCTGTCATCAGGCCTCGCTTCATGAGCGGCTTGCAGCATCGCGCCACCGCTGCCTTTTGCGCGCGCTGGTTCAGCATGCGCCTGCGCACGCGCTTTTCGCCCGTAGCAGAATTCCACAAGTAGAGCTTTGCAGTGGGCGGCCTTGGCAACACGCACGTCGTCATAATGAAGTCCACGCGGGCGGCCCCCTTCGAGGCCCTCGAGACGAATGACGATGGATTCGCGCGGCCCCAGGTGCCGACCTTCGGCCGCCATGCTGAGTCTGGCGAGGCTTCCTGGGGAGATCCG